ATTATTATTTCAATTTTATTACATTTCTAAAATTTTTTTCTCATAGATGGCAGCACTAATATTTTACTTAAAAATTTTTTCCTTCTTCTTCGATCAAATATATGTATAGTTTTTAATTTTATTTTATTCGATTCAAGCTATAAGCACAACTTCCAATATTTTACATCTTCCTGATTTTTGTTAACTCTTTTATTATTGTACTTTTAAACCTAAACCGCGTTTCAATTCACGCCGGTAAATTTGATTTCTTTTTACATTTTTCTTTTATTTCATGATTTTTTACAACATAATGTTTTTTGCGATATCGAAACATATAAAGAATAATTTTTATCTTAGGATAATTATTCTTTATTCAGAAATATCGCATTTATAGCAATAGATGTGTCTTGATAACGACGTTTTGCTTTTACCATTCTTGTTTCTGTACAATTCAATTTCTTATTTTATTCATGTTTTTCATGTTAATTTGTGTGTGTGTGTATATATATATATATATATATGTGTGTGTGTGTGTGTGTGTGTATAAAAATAAAATGTGCTGAAAGTATGTTTTTGTTGCTAATCTCGGAATCGTCCAGCAGCGCTAGACGACTTCCATGAATCCGAACACCTTCAAAAAGTCTATAAAAAGTGTGGAGTCTCTCAGGACCAAGAAGCGTGAAAAGGCAGTTTGATGGGCTCCGGGTCTTGGTCTAAGATTGAAAGATTCTCCCGTTTTTTTTGCAAAATACCAAGAGTGGTTGGGTGTTAAAAGTATTTGAAGTTAAAAGATTTAAAATGCCTCGTTAGCCCAACCAATTGATATAAATCAAGAGAAAATCAGATTGTTAAAAATGTTTAGTTAAAAGAAAGAAAACATGGAATTAAAGAGAAATTAAAAAACTAAATCTAATCATTAGCTTGAGTTAATGAAACCAAAGATAGTTTCTTTAGGTAGTAAAAAAGCTGGTTTTTATAGTTTATATTGCTATAAAATAGCACAGTGAAAAATTGTTATAAAAATTCAGCTTTGACAATTAAAAAATAATCTTAAAAAAAGAAACTAAAAAGCAAACTTTTAAGACCATTGCGTAGAACTAAAGTTCATAGGTGTAAAATCACAAGCTAATTTACGATGAACTGTTGAGTTAAAATGGTGCAACCCTTAGATCATGTGAATAGGGAACAGTGTATCAGGGAACAGCGGATCTTCTATTATTTGCTTTATGATGTTAATAATGACTTTTCCACTGGTAAGCATAGCAAAACACTTGTGTTCAGTTTTCAAATCCTTAAAGTATTAACCTTATAGCGCCCAGAATCCGGGACAGCAGTTTATTAAATGGGTAATGTATTGGACTGCTTAACAATAGCTTTAGCTGATGTTTTGTTAAAGAATCTCTGTTGATAGATCCCGAACATTCCGTGACCTGTGTTACAAATTTCTGCCTGACCAGAAGAGGGCGTTGTAATCACTCACTCATTATAATTCTGAAAACTCTTAGGTGGCAGGCAATGGATTGATTTGGATGGCTCATTGGAGAGCCCCTTTTCGTATCATATATTTTTNAAATTTGAGTCCACTATAACCGAGTTTCCAAGTTCTAAGCTGTTCACTATAAGCGTTAAAAATAACATTATTTAAATAGGAATACGGACGGGACCGCTAAAAAAGTTCACTACATCCGAGTGTTCACTCTATCCCAGGTTCACTATAGCGGGGTTCGACTGTATTATTAAATTTGTTTGTTATTAAATATGGTTTCTTTAATTAATGCACCCATTCACCACTGAATTATTCTGCAACATGGTGCATTGCGTCCGCGAATATCGCTAAAATAAAAACTGGACTGTACGACAAAAGGTTGTTAGTACAAAAAGGAATTATAATATCGGTGTATAACTACTCCCGATCTTGCAAAACTGGGACATTATTGCATAATTGGACTATTGCATTATTGGATTTGGCACATTATTTGGATTTGGATTGCAAGGTAGGAGATTTTATCCCTTATTTATTACTATTTGAAAATGGATAAGATTAATAAACTTATAGAAAAAAGAAGCAGTGTAAGAAGCGGAATAACGAAATTAATTAAAAGAATAAATTTGGAAGAGAAAGCGGAAACTGATACGCCACTTGCAGAAATGCTAGAACTTTTAGAAACTAAAGAACAAATTCTCAAAAAACATGATTCGGATATAGAAGACCTCATTACGGATACAGAAAAATTTAAAACTGAAATTAAGGTATCAGAAGAGTTCGATGAAAAAATTCTTTCAACTAAAATAAAGTTAAAAAGTAAAATTAAAGAAATGAAATAAATCATGTAGCTGAATTAAGTCATAATACTTCTACTGAAACTGTAGAACACATCTTTTCGGCCCTTAAATTACCTAAGTTAGAAATTCCCCGTTTCTCTGGTGATTCCAATTTCACGGAATTCCTCAATTGCTTTAATAGAGCTATAGGTAGAAATGATTCCCTTTCTAAAATTGAAAAATTTCAGTACCTAAAATCCCTTCTTTCTCCCCCTGCCTATAATGTTGTTGCTGGATTCGAATTAAACGATAAAAATTACGATTCTTGCATTGAACTATTAAAACAGCTTTATGGTAGAACAGATTTCATTATAAATTCATATATGACTAAATTACTAAATTTGGAGCCGGTTAGAAACTCATCTTATGTTAAAGGTTTGCGTAAACTATATGATGAAATAGAGGTAAACATAAGAAATTTACGCGCTTTAAATGTTACCGAGGGATCGTATGGTCAGTTATTAAATCCATTGTTATTGAAATTTTTACCCCAAGATTTAGGATTGAAATTTCATAGGAAACGTGATAAAAATAAAAATTGTGAAGTTTCGGAAATAATGACATTTTTAAGGAACGCGGTCGAGTCTAGAGAAATTTGTGAATCTGTAATGAGCAGCCCCAAAAATTACGAATCTAAACGTACCCCCTTTCAAAATTATCAAAAGAATTATTCTAAACCTAAAAACGTAGTAACAGCCTCAACTTTGCATACTCAGTCAAAAAATATTTGTATTTTTTGTGGTTTGGTAAATTCGCATGATTCTGTTGATTGTAAAAAATTGGATGTTGAAACAAAAATTGGTACACTTATGTCTGACGGAAGATGTTGGATTTGTTTCAAAAGGAACCATTACAGTAAATTATGTAGATCCGGAATTGTATGTAAAATATGTAATTCCAAATACCATCACGAATCAGTTTGTAGGAAAACTCTTAAACCTCAAAATTATGTAAATAGAGCTAATGAAACAAAAACAAAAGATTCGGAAAACGATAGTAACTCTAATAAATATCAATCTAACTCAAAAATAAATGTAGAGAATATTTCTGTTTCACACAATAATATATTTTGCAAAGATAAAGCTTTTCTACAAACATGTTCTGTATTAGCTTGTTCGGATAAAAATTCGATTTTGGCAAACGCCATTCGGGATAATGCGTCACATAGGAGTTTTATAAGCTCGAAATTAACTAAGGAATTAAAATTAAAACCCGTACGCTATGAAAAATTAGCAATTTATTCTTTCGGCCAAACTAACGCATGCGAAAAAGAAAATCCTGTAATTTCTTTAAAGCTCATAAATAAAAGTAATAGCTCTAAGTGGATCGAAATCGAATGTTTAGTAACACATTTCATTTCGAACTTAACCTTGAACAAGCCAGATGCTCTCTTAATGAATGAGTTAAAAACTAAAGGATATGAACTCGCTGACTCATTTCACACCACGAATTGCGATTTATTGATAGGGAGTGGTATTTTTTGGAGAATTGTTTATAATGAAAGGATGAAATTAAACGAAGATGTAAGTTTAATTAATTCCCATTTCGGATGGTTACTTTCTGGGTATAATAAATTGGGTCATGACTCAGCCGAAAGTTGTGAGAATGTATGCTTAACTATGGACTCTACATCTATTTTATTTGATCTTAAGCTATTTTGGGAAATAGAAGAGTTTCCGAATGAAAAAATATGTCTTTCTGAAAATGATAATCTATTGATAAAAAATTTCGAGGATTCTTTGCGATTTAATGGAGAACGTTACGTATGTAAATTAATGTGGAAGGATAATTTAGGCCCCCCTTTGGAAATGGACTCTAATTATGAAGTTGCAAAAAGGCGTTTTGATTCGTTAGAGAAAAAGTTAAATAAAAATCCCGAGATTTTAGATCAGTATAAACAAATTGTTTCCGAACAAATAAAATGCAGTATTGTTGGGAATAGTGTAAATGAAAACTTAAATTCAGGATATTTTATGCCTCATCGTGCAGTAATTAGGAATGACAAAGAAACAAGTCGCGTTCGTATTGTTTACGATTGTAAAGGTTGATAAGGCAAATGACAATAAGAAATCTTTGAATGATTCTCTTGAATCGGGAATTAATCTTTATCCAAATTTATTGGATATAATTCTTAAATTTCGAGAAAATCAAGTCGCATTTTGCGGAGATTTGGAAAAGGCCTATCATATGATAGAAATTGCGGAAGATGATAGAAATTATCTAAAATTTTTATGGTTTTCGGATGAAACAGATAATTCAAAAAGAATACTTCAATTTAATCGCCTTCCTTTCGGATTAACTACGTCATCATTTGTTCTTGCTTGCGTATTAAAATTTCATATTAGGAAATTTAAGGTAGATCAACCGAATTGTTATGAAATGTTGAATTCTCTATACGTAGATGATTTGTATTATGGTGCTAAAACTGTTCAGGATGCGTATCAATTATCTTCATCGGCAATTGAAATATTACGCGACGCCGGATTTAATTTAAGGAAATTAAAAACTAATTGTATGGAACTAAATGAACTTTGGCGTAAAAACGGATATGAGGAAAACACTGATTTTGGGCAAGGAGCAGGTTTCTTAGAATTAAAGTGGGATCCTATTGAAGATAAAATTAAATTAGATTTAAAGGAGTTAAGGTTTTCCTTGGAATCAGGAACCACCAAAAGACAAGTGTTGAGAATAATTTCTAAAATTTTTGATCCATGTGGATTCATTAGTCCATTTTGTAGTTAGAGCTAAAATAATTATGCAGGAAATTTGGGAGCGAGGTCTAAAGTGGGACGAAGATTTACCTAGCGATTTGGTAAAAAATTGGAAGAAATGGTGTTCTGAAATTGCTGATTTGGACAATTATGTTATAATAGAACGAAAACTATGTTCAACGGCGGATATTAGTGATGTTTCTCTTCACATATTTGTTGACGCAAGTCCTAAGGCTTACGGAGCCGTGGCATACCTTCGTTATACACCAATTGAAGGACATATTGAAGCTAAATTCATTATTTCTATGTGAAAGGTTGCTCCATTAAAAACTTTGACTTTGGCTAGATTGGAACTGATGGCAGCTCTCGTCAGTGCTAGATTAGGGAAATATTTACAAAACGTTTTTCCTAATTTCACTCAACAGATATACTATTGGAGTGACTCTAAAATTGTTATCCACTGGATAAAAGGATCTTCAAAGCTTTGGAAACCATTTGTGTCTAATCGAGTGATATCCAATATCGTCGATTGGGGAGTGAAGTCAGCAGAAGGCAGAGTCTCCTAGTCTATTCACAAATCTGGATTTTTTCAAATTATTTTAATGCTTTAGACACTCTTTGCTTACTTTGTAGTAGGTTAGTATACGGAGCATTCGTCTCCCAAAGAGGCGAGTTGGTTCGAATCGCAGTGGTAGCTTGTTGTTTAACTTCTACTACCACTTTGCGCCATTTACAGTGCTGACGTAAAATATCCTCATTGGTTGACGGCTCATGGGTAAAATTCCCATTGCCTTGAGGTTAACCGTGGTAGATTTTTGTGGTTTTCTTTTCCATCAGAAAGTCCTCCACGAAAGCTAATTTGTCTCAATGCTTGATCCAGAAATTCTTTTGTCTTCTAGGTTGGGTTCAAATTTATAGGGCTTCATAGTCGTAAACTGAGAATCGGGTATTGTGTTCAACAATGGTTATAAAATACGAAATGAAATATTAAATATCTTACAGAGAATTCTTTTAATTTAGAGCATAAATTAGAATCAAAATAGAATATTAAACGTAAGAAATGAGGCTTTGTACAGTAAGGAGCCAAATAAAACATGCTCTGTGCTTGTTAGGTTTTAAAATTTCACATATCTTTAAAATACAATTATTGAGAGGATAATGAATGCTCTATGTTTAAGTGTGTCATCGTGCAGCTATTCCACAAAAACTATTTAATATCGCCTCCAAAAAATAATAGTATAGAATATAAGCTAAAATTGATCTGCTCTCGTCATTGCTTTTGACCACTAACTGCTCTAGGATAAATAAATTATTTGCGTAAAAATCACGAAATCATCCTCACGAAATGAGCATGATCATGAAATCATCCAAAATACCTATTTTTAAATACACTCTTTACTTAGACTTAATCTAATGAAAGCACAACCAAGTTGTAGAAACCGATTTTAGAAATTATTAGAGTTATAAAGATTTCTGACTTTTTCTTTTGGTGATATATTTTATTGAAGTTAAAATCTAGATAAGTTTAATATTAATATCCACAAAAATAAAAATAGTTGTGAAATCAATAAAAATAATGTTTTGGAAGATTTAAGAGTTTACAAATATCTGAAACTATAATTTTAATACATTTAATCCTCTTATAGTTAGCCCTATCAACTTAATTTCGCTCTCTTTCTTTTAAGTTGAGAGAAAACACGAGAAATGAAACAGTATTATTTCCCTTTTGATTTTATGTAGAAAATCTGTTGGAAAAAAAAGCAGAAAAAATTTAGATTTTTTTTTTGTTTCTCGAATGATATGTAACATAATGAATGTAATAAATGTAACATAATGAACTGGTATTCGTTCAACTAAGTGGGTGTTACTTTCGATGTAGGTCAGGTCATATCATGACCGGTTCACCAATGTGGGGAAAGAGCATTTGTATAGTACATAAAGTATAAGTACAGAGATCTTTACCTTCTGTTCTACGCTTTGTACACTTTCCTGTTGCTGAATATGCTATACAACATTCATCCTTTTTGCATTGACTGTTACTACTACACCCAGCGTCAACAGTTGTCTGAAAATACACAAAGAAAAATATTATTTCAGAAATCATTTTAATTTAAAAAATGCTATTTTGAGACACTTCGTAAGAATTTTATTCAAATAGTTTAACAAAATATATTTGAAGAGTTTGAATTTGTGTGGAAGCAACAATAATGTGTGTAATAAACAATATAAGTTGACAGTCAATATTGTTTATTACACACATTATTGTTGCTTCCACACTTATATTTGTATTTTACAATATAAACTGAGTCAATTTGCATAGTATTTGTAAATAAGTATTCAAATTCACATTTTGTTGACTCAGATTGCTAGATTAATTTTGTAGTGCGATAAACAATACTCAAACTTAATGTTTATTTTTTAAAATTAGAATTATGTTACTTCATTTTTTTACTTCATTACTTCATTTCTTACTTCATTTCTTCACTTTATTTTTTAAATCAGAGTTACTTTTCCATCTTTGTTTTTAAATCTTAATGGTAAAACACAACAGTCCTACCAAGGAAAAAAATTGAATTGCCAACATCCGATTCACTTCTGAAAACAGATATATTTTAAATATCTTCCTACTGACGCAATTTAACTAAATTTTTAAAATAGGTTATTTAGCAAATTTTGTAATTTGGAAGCATAGTAATTGGTCCTGGTTTCATAGGTACCAAATAAACTAATATTGGTTACGTGGAACCTATTCAAGGTACTTTTCCTTTCTCCAAGCTTTGGGCATGTACCTAGGTCATCATGGACCCTTTACCATATGGCCCAAAGCTTGGCTACTGGTCCGGCTCCACCCCAGCTTAGGAACAAGTCCGGCCAGCGAGTATTTATTATATTACTCAAGGTACTGTGGTAATATACTTTCATATGTTATAATATGCATCCAAAAGAAATAAAAAATTTGCCTGATTGTGGTAAATTGGTTGTGATAAATTGCCAGATAAAATTGCCTGATTGTGGTAAATTTTACCAATCATGTGTTGGTTTCGAGCAACAACATCATGTCGAATGTCATGTGAATATAGATAACCTTTGTTTTGATAGGATGGATTATGAAAACGGAAATTTCTCAATTTTATAACGAAAACCACCGAGAAAGAAAAAAATTATAATAAATGAAAAATAGAATTTAGTGAACTTCATTAATTGTGTTAGTGACTGTCTTTCAGTTTTATGCATTATTTTGTAAAATTCATCAATGCCGATTAATTCATTATTTCGCTTTTTCATGTTGTGGGAAGGTATTAAGCTAGTGAGTAATAGTAACAATTCATAAAAACAATCAAACATGACATTAAGCTGTATTTTCTAAACTCCTCACTACATAATTTTTTTTATACTTTTAGTTCTCATTATCTTCGAGATATTTGGTTGAGTAATAAGTTCTTTAACACTTTTTATCAAAACGTAAATCACTAGAATGTGAGTAGTTTGTATAAATAATGAGGAAATTAAAAAAAAAAAATCAAATCTGAGATAACCTTGAGGTGTTAATAAAAGGGAACTCTGAGTTTCACTAAACTACTGCTGGCATTATAAAGAATCACGGGAATCAAATTAAAGATACCAACTATTTAGTTCTGAATGAAGGAGATGACAGAGTAGAGTATTTGCTTGTCAACTACGCTGTTTTGGAGAATTTGATTAAATATAATTTGAATTTTACTCCACAAATGCTATTTTCTGAAGATTGCCCCAAGTTTTTTTTCTGAATAAATTCAACTTTGATTGATATAGTTTGACTAGTATTTTCAACTATAAAAACAGGTATCATATTTTAACAATTCTAATCATTCTTTCCTATAAAATTGTAATGACGGAAAAAAATGGACAATGGTACAATGGACTTCAAGCTACAGTCGGGGGAGGTTAGGCATAATCCTTCAACAGTGAAAAATGATCTTAAAAAACAAGTAACAATGATGAGAACCAAGGAAAAAGAATTTTTGATTTCTGTCCTTAAATCTTATCATCAAACTTACTGAAAAGTTGAAAATATGCAAATAGCAAAAATTAAAGCAAAATAGAATGAAGAAAATATGCAAAAGTTGAAAACATGCAATTTCAAATTATCAACTTTCGTTATTTATTCTTTATTACACCTAATGTATGTTTCGTATTGTAGATAGGGGCATTGTTTTGATGTAATAACTTAAACGATGATTTTAGACATGAAAACAATGTTTTCCCTTTAAAACTTTTCTCGTAAAGAATAATGCATTTTTATAGTACTTACCCAAATGAATGCCAAGCTCGATATGAGAATGAGACAAAGGAAATTCATTTTATTTCAATAGTTACTGATAGGCTGGATGTCTGGATAGATGAATTATAAATTTCAAGCCATTGCTTTCCTTTTATACAGCTCCTTTTATACTTTGATCACGATTAAGATTATTCATTCAGATATAAAGCTAAACTTGATTACTCTATTTTTCCATAATTTAAAATCGTGGTCACATATTAAATTAAATGGTTGTGATTATAATTTGAAGGGCAAGCATTCTGGTTTTCTCTTGGTTTGCTAAGATTAAAATAAAATGTTGTAGTTATGATATTCATTGTTCAATAAATTATAAAATGAAATGGACTACAATATTTTTTTCTAATTCGAATTTTAAATTTTTGCTCTCAGCGAGCATTTTTTGTATATATTTTTTATAATTTTTATTGTATACATTTCATTTTTTTAAAATTTTTTTATTTTACAAAGAAACCCATTGCCCCACTAACAAATCCAATATGTCACTGTCGTGAGCATTATGACAAAAATAAATCTCAGGTAAATAAGACATTTTAAAAACAGAGGGAAAATTCATTTTAACAATTGTTTATTTAGATGAATTATATTGAAGTTTTCGAAGGTATTGATTTCAAATTATTAATTCGAGCAAAGTGCAAGCAAGCTGCAGAAGATAAAAAACTGATTTACCGTACAGCGAGCAAAATAAAATTAGCTTGTAATCATTATTTTTCTTTAGTATTTTATTTGAATTATTTGAAAAAAATTTATTTGAAAAAAAATTGAATTATAAAATACACAAATGTTTGCATCATTTAGGAAAAAATATGTTATTAAATAATTTTTTTTTCTTAATGGCGGGCACTTGGATTTATTGTCCATTGGCCACAGAAAGTGCCAGAACTGCTAACTCTCTTTTCGTTACCCAGTGGGCACCTGTGGCGAAGCCACGGCGGTGGAGCAGCATCGCCCACGTCACACTACCACAACCCGTTTCTAGGGCGGGTCACATTTGCACATTCACACACAAAGGAGAAAGGACATAGAACACAGATAGAGAGAAAGAATCATCCATGCCCAGAGCGGGATTCGAGCCCGCAGCCACTGGCTCAGCAGTCAGGCACGCTAACCGCTCGGCCACCTGGCCGGCGTTATTAAATAATAAATTTGAAGAAAATCAACATTTTTCAACTGATTTAAGTAAAGTAATAAACAAATAATCATAAAAAAATTATTAAAATTTATATTGAATGATCTTTACAAAAGTGATTTCTATCATTTTGAAGAAAAACCTTTCAATTCGTTTAAAAAAATTGACATGCAGCGAAATACACAAAAAGTTTAATCAAAATTGGTTCATAAATTTGACTTCTCTCCTGCTTTAACTACATATATTCCAGATTGAAAATATCCTCCATATTTTGAAGATAAATATATAAATTCATCAGAAAAAGCTTGTTTATTCGGAGAAAGTACGTTTTTGTGTCGTCTAGTATCGTAACTTAAAATACTGTCTGGCCAAATTTTTTAGCGTAATTCAGGTTGGAATTACAGGTTAGATTCAGATTAAACTCTTGAAACATGAAGATTGAATTTTAATTCGCAAAAACCAGAAACTCCCGAGGACAAGATTAAAATTTATTCTAAGTGTTTACTCTTTTTTGCAAACTGTACATCATTCAATTAAAGCAATTTTATCCAGGCTAATTCCCCCCCCCCCCAAAAAAAACTTGATTTTTTACGAAAATGCGGTAGTTTGATATAAAAGAAGCAATGAAAAATGAAAAAAAGGAATAAATATGACAAACGAAGCTGGCGGCTTCAGGGGGTACCAGCTCCGGAACTTATAAAAGCAAAACCTCTTCTATCTAGAGAGCACGACAAATGTATAAATTGCTCTCTCTGTACCCCGAAGGTTTTGCTGAAGTTCAGGAAGAGAATATAGAACAAAATATAAAATACATAAAGCAAATACAAAAGTATGAAATTAAGACAAGTACATGAGTATGTTACACACAAAAGCTTACTTGAAACATAAATCCAATGACCAAATTACGCAACTGACAGCCAGACAACAACTAAATTGAAACAAACATAAAAACAACGCCCCCTAATTTGCGCAGGAGGAAGAAAAAAAAAGACAGAAGAAAAGAGTGAGAAAATAGTGACATCATTAATAGAAATGCTTGACCGGGGCAAATCGGTTAAGCCCCATTAAAAGAAGAAAATAGTGCGTGGAGTCCCTCCAAGAAGTTAAACTTAATTATAGAAGTCACGTTAATTATAGTTTGACGTTAATTATAGAAGAATCAGCAGTCGTAGAAGGATCACTAGTTCTATTCAACGACTCTTTTTCCTGCTCCGCTCGCTTCCGTGCTCTGTAATCACGGTAATATTGTGCATTTTTCCCTCTTGAACCAGTGGAAGAGCTTGTGGTTGCCTCATCGTCTCGCCCTGGAAAATGTATTTATATTAATAATGTATGTGAATGCGTCATAATGTAATTTCAGAAGAGAAAATCTAACAATCAATTGATATTCACATAAACTTGACATGACCTTAAATCCGTCGCATTGTCTGTGGGATTGTTTTCACTCATTTTTTGCAATTGTTATCCACTAAATTTGAAAATAAGAAGTACTACCCTATTAAATTATATGTGTATCAAAACAAACTAAACAACATATTTATAGAAAAACAATACTTTTATGACTTTTATTATTTTTATGCTATTGAGAACCAAAACAATATGGAAATGAATGAGGGAAAACTGGATCCTGCCGCGTGATTTCCCGGCCAATAAAAATGTAGCGTTAAACGTTTAACGCAACCTTGTTGGAAGTCGCATAAGAAGTATAACTTCAAAAAACGAAACTAATAATTCTCAATCATTTTCTTAATCTTTAAATCAATATTCGCGATCGCAACGAACTATAGGG